TATATATTTACATTTTTATATTATATATATAATAAATAATTGAGTGGCCTTTGTCACCAAGCTGTTCGATGCAGGGAATATAAGCAATATATATGATTAGATATAGAAAGAGAAACAGCCATTCAATTTGTGTGGAAAGGTCAGCAGTTACGTGGAGTGAATAGTCCCGGATTGCATGATGTCATTTGGAGTTTATTTGTACTGCCATATTATAATAATAATTAGTTTATTTCTATTGTTTTAACTATAATTATATTGTATTTGTGGCACAGGGAGGGGAGGAATTTGATCTGTTAGAGGACACAGAGATTTAACAGATTGAGTAACATAGCTAGGACTATTCATAATTGGTATAGGATAGGGTTTTTTCTTCCTCTGTCTTAAAAGGTGCGGGTTGCACATATTTAACCTCAACGATGTTAGAAAAATTTTACAATCCAATAATATTTGGGTTGGGTTGGGGCGGCGCAGGGTGAGTTGGGTGGTCAGATTCATGCTGCCAAACATAAATATATCTAAACAATAGAAATTTTGAAAATTAACTTCAACATTCAAAGTTCATCATCAAATAGAAATAATAATAATCAATCCATCATCAAACAATTGTCAATTCAAAGTTCAATCTAACATTAAACATAAAGCAAAGTAGTCTATCGAGCATCAAACATAAAGCAAACATAAATTTAATCAAAATTCAAATCCATCCAAAGCAAGCACTGCAACGACAACCATCATTATTAGTCCACGCTCATAGGCTCCTTAATGGTTGTAGTAAGACATGAAGTTGAGTTATGTACAAGAAAAATGAAAATAGATTAAGTAATTACTTGGATACTTTAGAGCTCATATAATAGAAATAGGTATAACATTGACATTTACGTATAAAGGTACATAAAAATTGTCTTACCTCGATTTTCATAAGTCTCTAAGTCATCCAAATAATCTCTTACTTGCATGAGAATCATGTGTAGACTTCAACCAATTTTGAGTACAGACAAGAGCCTCCGCCATCTTAGGATTCAAAGAGTACCTAAATGGATCCAGAATGCGACCACCAGTACTAAAAGCTGACTCGGAAGTCACTATGGAGACTTGGACAACAAGTACGTCACGGGCATGAGACGGTCAATATTGTCTAATTTTAAAAATCTGGATCCATCTATATTTCCCTCAACATCGTCATTTTCGTCCATGGATGAAAAGACCAATCATTCAAAAGCCTTAAAAATGACGTCAAGTAGTTCTTTTGCTGGGAAAACGATATAAATGAGTTGAAATTTATAAAATGAATGTAAACAGAGGAAGTGTCGAGCTAGACAAATAAGTACTAAAAGATAACAAAAGTATCGTAAAACAATAAATATGTGCACAGAGCAGTGAGGAGATAGAGACTAGAGGTGAGAGAGCACAAAGCAGTGAGGAGAGACCGAGAGGCGAGAGAGCACTGGAGAAAGTCGGCAAGATGACGGTCAAGAGGACTAAGCACTGAGGAGAGAGTTGTGAGGGCCTGAGGGGAGAGGCGGCCGAGAGGTGTGGAATGAGGGAAGATGGTTGAGTGGTTGCCCTAATGACAGCCTAGGGTTAGAACTTGGGCCAAAAGTATAATATTAATGGGCCGAAAGTAAGCCTGGGGATGTGTTGTGCGGGTTGGGTTGGGGGTTGCGAGTTGTTATGGGCCCAACCCACAATCCACCACAAACACTTCGCACCAGAGGTATAATGGGTCGAAAATTAAAAAATAATGCTGCGGGTTGCTTCTTTCGGATTGGGTTGGGGTGGGATGGGTTGAGTTTGCGGGTTGTTAGGGTTTATGAGCAGCCCTAAACATAGCGTCCCTTGTGGAATTTAATCTGGTGCAGAAATATTTTATTAGAACTCTTGTTACTTTCTTTAAGCAGGGGAGTCATTGGATTACAAGTTTTTCAACTTGGGATGTACCATATACAGTAAATCCTCAATAAATAAATGTTTGATAAATTAATAACTTTGATTAAAAAATAAAATCTTTAAGTCCTGACTATTCATAGTTGGTATAGAGTAGGGTTTTTTCTTCCTTTGTCTCAAAGGATGTGGGTTGTATATATTTAGCCTTAACGATGTTAGAAAAATTTTACAACCCAATAATATTTGGGTTAAGTTGGGGCGACGCAGGGTGAGTTGGATGGTCAGATTCATGCTGCCAAACATAAATATATCTAAACAATAGAAATTTTAAAAATTAACTTCAACATTCAAAGTTCATCATTAAATAGAAATAATAATAATCAATCCATCATCAAACAATTGTCAATTCAAAGTTCAATCTAACATTAAACATAAAGCAAAGTAGTCTATCGAGCATCAAACATAAAGCAAACATAAATTTAATCAAAATTCAAATCCATCCAAAGCAAGCACTGTAACGACAACCATCATTATTAGTCCACGCTCATAGGCTCCTCAATGGTTGTAGTAAGACATGAAGTTGAGTTATGTACAAGAAAAATGAAAATAGATTAAGTAATTACTTGGATACTTTAGAGCTCATATAATAGAAATAGGTATAACATTGACATTTACGTATAAAGGTACATAAAAATTGTCTTACCTCGATTTTCATAAGTCTCTAAGTCATCCAAATAATCTCTTACTTGCATAGAATCATGTGTAGACTTCAACCAATTTTGAGTACAGACAAGAGCCTCCACCATCTTAGGATTCAAAGAGAACCTAAATGGATCTAGAATGCGACCACCAGTAATAAAAGCTGACTCAGAAGTCACTATGGAGACTTGGACAACAAGTACGTCACGGGCATGATACAGTCAATATTGTCTAATTTTAAAAATCTGGATCCATCTATATTTCCCTCAACATCGTCATTTTCGTCCATGTATGAAAAGACCAATCATTCAAAAGCCTTAAAAATGACGTCAAGTAGTTCTTTTGCTGGGAAAACAATATAAATGAGTTGAAATTTATAAAATGAATGTAAACAGAGGAAGTGTCAAGCTAGACAAATAAATACTAAAAGATAACAAAAGTATCGTAAAACAATAAATATGTGCACAGAGCAGTGAGGAGATAAAGACTAGAGGTGAGAGAGCACAAAGCAGTGAGGAGAGACCGAGAGGCGAGAGAGCACTGGAGAAAGTCGGCAAGACGGCGGCCAAAAGGACTAAGCACTGAGGAGAGAGTTGTGAGGGCCTGGGGGGAGAGGCGGCCGAGAGGTGTGGAATGAGGGAAGATGGTTGAGTGGTTGCCCTAATGACAGCCTAGGGTTAGAACTTGGGCCAAAAGTATAATATTAATGGGCCGAAAGTAAGCCTGGGGATGTGTTGTGCGGGTTGGGTTGGAGGTTGCGAGTTGTTATGGGCCCAACCCACAATCCACCACAAACACTTCGCACTAGAGGTATAATGGATCAAAAATTAAAAAATAATGCTGCGGGTTGCTTTTTTCGGATTGGGTTGGGGTGGGGTGGGTTGAGTTTGCGGGTTGTTAGGGTTTATGAGTAGCCCTAAACATAGCGTCCCTTGTGGAATTTAATCTGGTGCAGAAATACTTTATTGGAACTCTTGTTACTTTCTTTAAGCAGGGGAGTCATTGGATTACAAGTTTTTCAACTTGGGATGTACCATATACAGTAAATCCTCAATAAATAAATGTTTGATAAATTAATAACTTTGATTAAAAAATAAAATCTTTAAGTCCTGATTTAGACTAATATATTAAATTAATAATCTGCTTAAATGCATAAAATATCTTTTAAAAGTGCATAATGAGTCTTGATTTTAACTCATTACTCTTAATTAATATTCTTTACGTCAAATAACTATTAATAAAAGGGTACTAATCAAGAATTTAAGAATAAATGGTAAAAATCCAGAACCACACACTTTTAAAAATAAGTTTAGTAATTTTCTCATTATTTATTTTAATCTTTTAGGGTCCAAGGATAATATAAATTAATAATTAATTAAATACAAAATAATAATAATACGTACTTTATTAACATGTTAATTACTATGTACTTACATTAATTTTTAGGCTTCTCTGTATATGTATATAACATTTATTATATACATGAACTCTATATGTAAACATCCATTATACATAGAAAATGAGATTCAAGGAAAAAGAAAGAACGAAAAACAGTTAATATGATTTCACAGTTTTACTTTTTTCTAATATTTAAAACAATTTCTCTAAGAGTGGTTGCTGACATTATTTTACTAGTAAATCCACATCTGATTCTGTATTCTCCTGATCCCTAAGTTAAATTATATATAAAAAAAAATATTTCTAGAAAATATAGCTTAACGCATTTTAAAAAACAGTTCTAATATCATTGGTAAAAATTCACATTTTAATTGTTCATACATAAAATAAAATTATTTTAAAAACACTCTCAAACAGATTCAAAAATATAAAGTCCCGACACTGTGCTGGTTAATCGTATCAAGTTTATAAACAAATGTAAGTTGTTTAAGGTTCCATATTTATCGTTTTATTTTGCATTAACAACATTCAACATTCACAAGTAATCGTATCCTCCTTTTCTTTGCAAATAAGAAAATAACTGAGGAAAAGCATAAAACATTAAAAGAAAAAAAAAGAAATTGAAAAAATCCCGACTAGAGTAAATTGTATGAAACACTAAAATTGAAGATATAAACTGAATTATTTCTGTTTTTAAACGAAAGAAAAAGTTAAAAATTTTATTTTTCAGTAATTCTTCCGCGTGATGAGAAATTCAATATATAATTACTTGCTAAAACTCTTAAAATAATTCCATTGTCGTCTAGTCCGGTTAGGATACCTGGCTTTCACCCAGGCGACCCGGGTTCAAATCCCGGCAATGGAAGCCTTTTTTTTTTGGGTTTAAAATAAATATTTTCGGTTTGTAGGGGTTTAGATGAAATAAGATAAGACATAAAGGGGTTTTAACATTTGCAGAGAAGAGGAGAAAGTTTAGAGATGAGTGGGACAGGATCTCCGGATTTCTTCTACAGAGAAGCTCAACGCCTTGGCTATGTCGCTCGCTCTGCTTTTAAGGTCCTTTCCTCTTTTCTTCTTCTTCTTCTTCTTCTTTTTTTTTTTAATTTTGTATTTAATTTCCAACACATAATTTTGCATTTTACAGTTGCTTCAGATACAGAAGCAGTACAAGCTCATAACGCCGGGCTCATCTGTTCTCGATCTTGGTTGTGCTCCTGGTGCTTGGCTTCAGGTCCCTTTTCAATATCTCAACCTTTTTTTTTTTTTTTTTTTTTTTTTTTTTTTTTTTTTTTTCCTATTGATTTTCATGGGATTCATGTTGATTTAGTTATTTCCTAACAAAGCCATCATCACCAGGTAGCTTGTCAGAACTTGGGTCCCCTCACAAAAGGTGGGGTTGTTGTGGGCATTGATGTTAAGGTCTGACTCTTTTCATTCATTCAATGTTTGTTGCTTTGTTTGAGCAATGTTGACATTATCAGGTGCTAAATTCAAAAACTTGCTGTTTCATTGATAAATATTCATAGCAATTGATATTGTGAAATGTCCATATGCAGAGCAGAAGGTAAAGGTTCCTCAGCATAACTGTGATTCAAGAGTTCAGACTGTTTGTGCTGATATCATGAACTTCTCCAGAGACCGAATCAGAGCACTCTCTCCTCAGGTGTGTTTCCGACTTGAAAAATATGGAAGTAATTTTTTTTAGTGCATTGTTTCTGGATGTTACAAAAACAGAACGACGATTTGGTTTTCTTGTTGTTTGTTGTTCTTGTGTTGTAGAAAAGTTTTTCTGTGATACTTTCGGATATGTGTCCCCCGGTTTCTGGAATCACTACCACGGATTCAGCTATTTCATTTGAATTAGGTATGCGAGCGCTTGATATCGCTGTTGGTAGAGGTGCCTCTGCGCAGATGGAGGGTTATTTGGAAGGTTCGGCTACTTGTTCGAATGAAGAGGACGATAATGGTGTATTGCAGAAGGGGGGTCACCTTGTCATTAAGCTTTTAGAGAGTGAAGATGTGCAAGGTCTTTCCTTTCCTTTTTTTTTTTCTTTGCCCGCCTTTTTAACGGATGGTTGATTTAGTGCTGCTCTTGATTTAGTGATGCCTTTTAACGAATGGTTGTTCTCTATTTCTTGTTATGCAGAAGTCAGGCGGATCTGCAAACCATTGTTTAGAAAGGCATCGTGGTTGAGGCCTAAAGCTACAAGGTCGTCATCAAGGGAGATTTATTTGATATGTCAAGGTCTGCAGTCACAGAAAAAGGTGTAGAAATTATGCAAACAACAGCTGGGACAAGCGATATAGAGGAAAGGACATTGACAAATGCTTTTTGGCTGTTATACACAATGTATCTTTATTAGAGTATCTAATTGGTTAGCCTAATTAGGCTATATATAGCTTATTAGTCCAAGTATTAGAGAATGTTGACAAGAAGTTCAGAATAATGGTCTCTCTTTTTTTTTTTTTTTTGTAGTTGACTCCTGAAAAATGAAAGAGAACTCAAATCTTTACTTATTAACGAAATTGAAGAATTACATGGTTCCAGTTGCACCAGATTTTGTTAGTCTCAATCTGAATATAAATATATGCCACTCGCTTGTTTAGCTCTTAAATATCTTCATCTTTCTCTCCCCACTTTTCTCGTTTTGGCCGGGAGAGCTCATGGTTGATGGTACTATATTCATATACATTATGTGCAGCAGTAGCTGTGAAGGAACATCAACGAATCTGGGTTCTTCCTAATGACCAGAGACCAACATCTTTGACAGGTGCCTGTAACCATTAGAGCCATAAAAATTTTGGTGAGAAGCTGTGTACAAATTTTAGATTTTATTGAAGTGACAGGATTTTGGTATTGGTCGTGCTTACCGGTGTTTTCACGGATGGAAACACATTCCAGAACCGAAGAGTCTCATCGCCAGCTCCTGTAACTATTGTCTGCAAAAATAAGTAAGTTTTGTTACGTTCTGAAACATCTCTTTTGCGGTAAGAAACCAGATTTTGTTTGCTACAGATGTGTGGAAACTTACTTGACCATCTGGTGACGTTGCAAGGTAGAGCACTCGCATATTATGTCCAGTTAGAGTGGCTACCTAATTAAGAGAATAAATAAGAGTTGAGTGAAAAGAACAATTTCCAAGAGATGATGAGAAAATAACAGAACAGTAAAATCTAACAGTCTCATTTAGAATAGAGAGAACTTATAGAGAAAAATCAATAGATTTATATATATACCTTTGCCATTGATGGATACTTCCACACCATGATTTGATTCTGGGAATACCCATGAGTGCTGACTAGCTCATTAACGTTCTTACTCCAGGCAAGGTTGCATACCTGCATTGTGATGGTTGCAAGTTAATACGAGCTTTCCTTTATGCTCGGTATTGTGAAAAGACCCAAAGAAAATAAACATGAATGAAAACTTGAGGAAATATGAACCTGACTTCCTGTGTCAACACAGTTTAATTGGTGGCCGTTTGTAGTGTTCCAGAAGCGAATACATCTGTCGGCTGTTCCACCTCCAGATGCAAGTAGGCTGCTCTGGTGGGGTGACCACGTAATGGCCTTAACAGCTGCTGTATGTTCTGTAAGTTTTAGCACTGGTTGCTGAGAGTGCTGGTTCCAAACCAATAGCTGGACATCAAGAAAGTCATGGAGTTGGTAATTGTCAAGAGTTATGGGGCTAAACATTGAAGAGGGGCAAGCGAAAATAGACATTGGAAACAAATCAAAACATTATGGTATACCTGATTATCATTGCCACCGGAAGCGAGTTCCCTATCATCAGGAGACCACTTCAGCCCACATACCTATGATCATGGAAGTTCAATGTCAGATTTGATTTTGGAATGAAGAAGGCTAAACCATCTTCAAAAAATTTTCATGATTCCTAACATGACATGACGCATTTCGTGGAAGTTAATGAGCGGAGGAGGAAAAGAAAACGAATGCAGTTTTCCTTACAGGACCTTATGCAGTTTGAATGATGACAATGCAAGTAATGATATACGGAAACTCTATAGTAAATGATTAACACTTGAAAGCTTTCAGAAGACCTTATTAAAACTTCTAGTCCTAGAGGTGTTTTGTTTACCTCTGACTTGTGGCCAAGAAGTTTGCTAATGAAATCATTGGAGACCCGAAGATCATGTTGAAGAATGTTCCTATCCCTGCTTCCTGAAGCTAAAGTGCGAGAGTTCCATGCCAAAACCCCTGTCCTTGTTTGATGACCGCCCATCGTTCGGACCTTTTTGCACTGAGTACCATCCCAAACCTATACAACAGAAGCCCCCAAATTCCTCATCACTCCCAAAATATTTCACATGACTAAAAAGGAAGAAAGGTAACATTGTTCTGCCAATTAAGTACCTGAACTTGGCCGAGATTTGTACCAATTGCTATGTACGAACCCTCCCGGGTCCACTGCACCGAACAAATTCCGTCGTTAGGTCCCAAGTCACACAACTTTGTCACCTGAGAAAAAAGAACAACGTTACTCCAAAGTTTTTCGCATTGCCATTTTAACCGATCTAGTTGGGGAAACAAGGACAACTTAGTTGGAAAATCACCTTGCTGTTTGTAGCACTCCATAGATAAACACACGTGCCCAATCCAACAGCAAGAATATTTTGGGAAGACCAATCCACAAGGTTCAAGTAAAAGTCATCTTGCAGTGATGGAGCATCAAGAACCTGCCAACCAATTTTTACGGTTTTCACTCTTTGTTCACTACTTAACTAATATTTGCTATAATGCTAATAACATTTCACTAATCAACTAGATTACTTCTAAGCAAAAATATGCTTCATAGTGATCTCTACAAAACTTGGGCTCAAATTGGCTTTATGCGGATACACTATGACTTCTTTTCTTTTTTTTCCCTTTAATCTATCATTTCAAATCTAAAAACTAAAATAAACAAAAATTAACATAATATACGACTTCAGTATATTTTTGAAGGAAGAAAAAAAAAGATATCAAAAAATTAATGAAAAAGTAAAATCAACAGATAATAAATTCTAGAAGGAAAAAAAAAATCATAAGATGTTCAGTGCTTATTCCACTATTGATGTAGTTCAAAATTTTTAATTAATCCGTCTCTGACCTCCAGATTTTAGCTTTCATGGCAGGTGTTGATTCTCATTTGGCCCAAAGAGCTCAAGATTTAACCTTTAGACTTCAAATCTAAACTGAGATGAATTTATTCACCTTGTCATTGGAAAAGTAACGCTCTATATCAGATCAAGATCAAAATTAAATGCAAGAAATCATGGCAGTTTCGATCCTCAAGATAGACTAATTGCTGACCTTATGGGGCGTCTTGGGGACTTTACGAGGCGGCTTCGGAGGCGTCGAACACTCGTTGGAGAACCCGCTGTCGTGCCCCAAAATTGACTGTGAGTAGGGCGAGCTCGGGCCGGAGTGATCGGTCTTGAACCGCAGCATGTTCTTGCTCGGACTACTCATCGGCGACGCCGCCTGGTTCCCAGCACCACCTGCAGGGGAAGAAAAACAACCGAAATCAGCCCCGAAAAGCTCGGATTTCAAAATCCTCGAGTAGGCCTCGTTGCCGCCTTCCTTGGCGGGCGAGGCCTTGTCAATCAGCCCGAATGTGTGGAGCCTCGACGACGACCGGCACGGAATGAACCGATCGCTGCACGTCGACGACTTCGACGACGGCGACGAGAGGCTCGAGATCCCCCGGAGCGACGCCGAGTTGAAGGTCTCGAGCCGAAGAGAAGTCTCCGACATTCCAGCTGGGAGATTCAGCCCCGTTTTCCTTGTCAGTGTGGATTCCATTTTTAGGGCTTTTCAAAGATCGTCTTCTTCTCTATAATCTTTGTGTATAGCCTGAGAGAGAGAGAGAGAGAGAGAGAGAGAGAGAGAGAGAGGAAACCACTCTCTGCAACGGTCGAATTTTGGTAGGGTTTATAGGAGCGGATTTAGGAGCTACGGAAAAGGAATTAATTTTTTTTAATTTTATTTTTTAATAAATCACTTTTTGTTATTCTGTGCCAATTTAGTTGATCCAACGGTCAAATGTGTTGCTGAAGCTTTATGACTCGGGCTATAGGGCTAGAGTTACCAAAACTAGGAAAACAAGTAGCCGTTTTTTTTGCTCTGAAAAAAAAAAAGAGTAGCCGTTGCTTTCAATCTTATAATTTTTATTTTTATTTTTTTCATGAGAATATAGTTTGATTGTTTGGCTTATTTGTTTGTGCTTTTAGTCTTCTTGTTTTTTTTTTTTTTCATGTATTCCTGGTACACATTCTGCTGAGGTTAAATTATTTATTTACTAATCATCTAGGAGGGCTTATAGCAATAAAATAAGATAGATTTTTTGATACGCTTGCTGGTAGGCTAAAGTTTTTTAACTGTTGGATCTGCGTACTTTTTGTTTACGTGATCTTATGCAGATCTGACGACAGAAAACTTGATCTAGCAGTATGTTGGTATACCGAAAAAATTCTCATAAAATAACTACCTATGATATCGTGCATGATGACATGATTTTGTATGAGCTTATAACAACATGATATTTTGCATGGATTTTTAGGTGAATCTACGTAATGTACTCTCGAATTTAATTGAATTGAGGTTCGTATTATTGTTAGATGGGTCATAATTAGAAGTGCTTTAGTCATTTAATGATATTTCAATCTTACCAAAACAACATAAGACATCTTTTGAAAAACTAAATATGAAGCTTAGTCATCTCTACAATCTTATATTTCAATTGGAGTAATTTCTCATATAAGCGTGCATACCCTTCTTTAAAGGCATTTTTTTTTAATGGGTTTTAATAAAATCAGAATCAATGTAAAATAAAATAAATGAAAATTGTAGTAAATAACATTTTTACGAAGTAAAATAGGTATATAACATATTTTAAAAGTACTTTTAGTAAATAATAGTAAATAGAAAACATTTTAATTAAACCTGAGACATTTACATAAAGAAAAATAGTTGGAAATCGAATGCACACGGTGTTTTGGATGCCCGAAACTAGCCACAGAATTATGAATAATTGAATAAATGGAAAGACTACTTCCAAATCATCCAAAATACATATTAGCAGATTGGTATAGATTAGTCGGTTTCATCAGTTTGATTGATGAGATCCATTTTATCGAAGTACCGCTATCAGAGAACACAATCTTGTAGAACTTATAGAACACAGCGAGTGTCAAAGAACATAGAAGTGTTATTTCACTAAAACTTCATTGGCCATGGGCAAAAGTTAGTCTGAATAACATTAATTTTCTTGCCATCCGGTAGAAAAGACAATATACAAGCTGCATGCATGTCACTAAAGATATCAAAATGTATATCGAAATTGGTATCTCCGAAGCCAATCTTCACCCTTCTCATAATAGTCTGACTTGCTGAATGTTTGAGCCAAGAACTCTGGGGAAGCAGCATAAGCAGACGCTCCCCGCCATGCATCGAGAATTGGATCCAATGCTTTCACCACCCTTATGGGTGAACCACAAGGCCTAATCATTCGGATCCCGGCTTCCAAGCGCTCACTTATACCAGGAAAGAGACAACTCCCCCCGGTCATGAATATTGAACTAGTCAGTCTCTCCTCCAACTCTTGGTCCTTGGATGGCAACCTCCTTATTGAAACCCCAGCCATCTCATCTAACCCTGCCTGGTCAATACCGATCCAATTGGGACGGAATAATATCTCAGGACATCTGAACCTCTCGACCCCAAGAACAATCTGGAAATCTTCTTTAGTGAGAGGACGGAACCGTGGAACTTCAGCAGGTTGTGAGGTTCCAACTTCTGACTTCGGAACAAAAGTTGGATCTAGTTCCTGCCAGAGTCATAAGCCATCATAAGATTCACAAAATAGAGATCAGCAACAATAAAAATAGAATAGCATACTGGTGAGGTGAGATAACCTAGATAAACTGACCTGAAGCCTAGAAGACACGCGAGCTAGCTCTGCTTCATCCTCGTCTAGTCCGTCATCCTCATCATCATTATCTTTGCTCATCAGTTTATATAGTTGCCAATCTTCATCCCTTGCACCAAAAGTATCTTCACCCTTACCGCGATCGAAAGCGGCTGTTGTTAAAAGTCGCATCCTTTCTCTCTGGGCAGCACTCAGCCTCTCACCACGGCCGACACCTCCAGATAAATTGTTTCCATTTGTATGTCCCCCATTTGTTTTTAGTCGCTTTCTTTGTTCAACTTTCTCATACAGTTCTTTGTATTTGGCCTGCAACTGCTCTAAATATAGCTCTGGGTTTTCTCTACAACATGAAGAAAGACAACCAAATGAACAAAGGTAGAGGATAAAGAGTTCCGTTACTCTAAAAGTATGAGGTGCATTAAATAAATAGAATAATAAATATCTGACTAAGACAGTTGTTCCTAATTCCAAATGAAGGATGTACGAATCTATGTTTAGCACATACAAGCGTTTAACTTCGTCTTCTTGATTTCTCCTTTCTCGCTCCAATTCTTCTTCTTGACGCTTCTGTTTAGCTCGCTGTCGTCCTTCAGATGTGGTTTTAAGAAACAATTGCCTTCTCTTTTCCTTGAGCTAATGAAAGAACACGAATAAAAGATGTTAAATGTTAGGTTACAGAGAGACACGAGTATATATGTACTTTCAAGTGCAATCAAGAGCTACCTCAAGATAATTGGGAACATAGATAAACATCTAGTATGTAAAAGCATACCTGCTCTGCGGTCAGCATGTTGTCAGGGACATTAATAAGAGGAAACTTTTCATTCGAATTAGGATCAGTCTTCTCCTCGCTCTCGGCTTGCTCACCTTTTGCCTTTCGTAAAGATTGTGTTACCTTCACCACGGCAGATTCTATTTCATGCTTTGAAACATACCCAGTTTCTGACAGGAAAGATGGTATATCATCCTCTTCCACTTGCTCAAGCTGCTTCAGGAGGAATTCTAAACCATGTAATTCATTCTCTAGCTCATTTATCCTAGAAGACCTCTTGGCCTCTGCCATTTCTCGCAAACGTTGACCCTGTTTCTCTTTTATGGCTGCCTTTCTTGCAATCTCTTCTTCTGAAGGCAGCACCTCAGTTGGAGGGGGAACCCACGGAAGCTGCCAGCACCTTGTTTTCTCTTCCGCTTCCTTGGTTCCTTTCTATCAACAATTTAAAAAATGTGCATCTTTAGAGTTTGAAAAGTAGAATGACAAAACGAGCATAAGAGTGGAAGACCAATTATGAATTTGTGATTACCTGAAATAATTGAGCTTCGGAACCGTAGTCTTGAGAAATATAACAGTGTTCCATCTTCAGGTCTTCAACCTTCTCCCATGTAAACCTAGCCCTATTGAATTTTATAGACTTAGAAATTTCATACATATATCTACTTCAAAGTACCAGAACCAGTATCCAATTCTACTCACATGTGATGGGGGTATTTAAGGGAAAGAAGTTGCTTCAGATAATCAGTGACGTGAAATCCACCAATGTTAGTCCTGCTGCACCCATTATAAACTGGCTCACCATCGATAAACTGGACTCAGAAACACGACATTATCATCCTCAATTAGGTAATGTACGGAACATAGAACGGACTCGTAAATACTAGGCATTTGCACGTTTTCTGATTGGCAAAAGTACAAACCGCGTGCAAATGTACAAAGATTAGACTCTTATTGATAATGTCTGAAGCAAAGACAAGATTCAATAAATATATCGATCTAAGATTGAATGAACAAGAAGATCAACCTACTTTTGTTTAAGAATGTCAAATTGATAGCAAAAGTACATGCGTTGCTGATATGTGCACAAGAGAGAATTTCTTTCATTTCATGCAGAGAGGTAACATCTACTAAAGGACAAATTGAGCATGATTACACGTAAGCACTCAACTCTTTTTTTTTTTTTACACTAATAATAATATATTAACTAGGATTAATGCTTGAGTTAACTCAATAACAAGGATAGAAATCATACTGGGACAACATGAGTAGTTGTAAATCCAGGGCAGATAGCAAGACCATCTTTATTACAAACCCCACGTTGTTGATTATACTTATAGCTGAATGCAGCATCAACACCATACGCTGTGAAAATGTACTAAAAAAAAAGCCTTTAGATAGCAGCACACATAGTGTGAGACACAAGATATATAAGACTTAAACTCCAGCAAAAAAGCATCTTTAGAACATAAAAATGTTTTTTTTTTTTTTTTTTTTTTCTGAAAAGAAACAAGTTTTTTTTAAATATATATATATATATATGTGTACATACATATATGTGTATATATAATCACATCTTTAGAACATAAAGGTATATATGTGTGTATATAATCACAAGGCCAAGCCCATCCAGTAACGACCAGAAAACACAATGGCTTGTTCATCAGGATAAATATCTTGATTTTTTTTTTAAGCCCACCCACTGGAGATCAAGTTTTCAGGATGGTAAAAGTTGACGTTGTTACCTATTGATGGAACTCCATAAGTCTCAAATAAAAGTTCAGCCATTTTACTCCGAGAATGAACAGGGTTGCATACACATTCAGTAATCAATATAGGGTGATCAATCTGCACTGCCTTCAAATGAAAATAAAATCAAGGGTCAAACAAAGATAATAAAACCTCAAAAAATTACAAAATCAGTCCAAAAAAAGGAACCCAAAGAAAAATAACAATCTAATCGCCCGTCCAACAGTTAGTAGCACAAATTTTACACACTAAAAAGAACTCTACTCATATCAGTGGTCAGCCATTCGCATTTTGGATACAAAGGAAGCAGAATGTAAATGAACATAACCAATAACCCAGTGTTGTACAAGAAAACCCACTAAAATCCAAAAAGGTGCCTGTAAAGCACAGATTATCCAAACCAATAGAGAGCAACATAAAATACTGAGGCATAAGGAGCATTTATAGAGTAAAATATGCTGAGAAATGTCACTGGAACAATCCCTGGCCTTTCCAGTGAAACACACAAAACAAACAGAAAAGTAACCTCATTTTTTATCATACCTGTGATCCTTCTGCACCCAAACGATCGAAGCCAAAGTCAAGAATCTGTGGATACAAGAGTATGTAAGCTAGACCACAATTTATAAATCATTTAACTAATAAGATGAGCATAAGCCATAAAGATGCATAAATGGAGTGGTTATAATAAAACATAACTGAAATTGAGTTCCCTGCAACCTATGTAGATTTTCTATTCGAACACGACTTTGACTAATCTATGGAAGTGCCCCGAGACATAAAGGGTCCATAGAGTTTAAAAAGGAACATCAAGCCCCATAAACAACAATAACAAGCTTACATATTCCATTATTTCAAACTGATAAACAACATTGCAGTCAAATGCCGAGCGAGGCCCTGAGCGAGTGCAGTCAAAGTATTTCAGCAGTGCAGGATCATGGTCACCAACAATAGTGACAGTTTCACCTGTGTCATCAATGCAAGGAAGGAATCACCACATTAATCATCTCAAAATGTCAAAATGCCAAAATGCGTTCTTTATCATGAGAATTCGCTCCGCTTTCGATCCTTACTCGATCATAAAACGGAATTTCACCTAAAGTGTAAGAAATCCTATAAACATTGCTCATTTCTACAAACACCACCATAAAAAAAAAATGTTTAGCTCAACTTCGAAGCAACCAAACATAAAGAAGCAAAATTTTTTATGTCCCACTTCAAAAAAAAAAAAAAAACAACAACAAGAAGCCACACACACAGAAACAGAGAGAGAGAGAGAGAGAGAGAGAGAGAGAGAGAGAGAGAGGAAGAAAGGTTTTACCAGTGGTCTTATGGCGAGGTCTCTGGACAATATTGCGGAAAATAACGCGAGGGTCCGTCTCTCCTGCCCATCTGCAAAAAGCAATTACGCGAAATGACACTTTCTATACTCGATTTGCATACAAATACGAACACGAACAAGGTAAATTTAGGGAGGGAGAGAGAGAGAGAGAGAGAGAGAGAGAGAGATATCCAATTCGGAAATAGGAACCGCCATTGTCGATGACGATAGGTGTTGAGGGAGAAAAGAGGCTGTAATCGGACTGTCGCTGTATCTGTGAAACGAACGGCATTTCGTTGTCGTCTGTAATGGGATGGACCAGAGAGGAGTGGAAGAGAGGTTTCTGGGAGATTCTCTGGGGTTTTACCGGAAGCTCGGAGCTGGTTTTTCTTCCTACCGACTGAGCGGTTGTTTGAACCGGCCGGTTCGGCCGGATTTTCTGCCCAGTAGTAATGGATCAATCAAGAGATGAATTATTAGCCGTTAAATTAAATGGGAGAAAAAAAAAAAGTTCAGATTTGAGATGAATTAAAATTAATAGGTTAATAGTTTATATAAGTTAATAAATAGATTAAATTACTGTTTACGTTTATAACTTGTCTGGTTATGAACCATAACTTGACAAGTTATTGTCCATAATTCACGATTTTTGTTTATAACTTGTCTGGCTATGAATCATAACTTAACAAGTTTGTCTATAACTTATCTGGTTATGAACCATAACTTGATAAGTTATGGCCAATTAATTTCTATAACTAAAAGTTGGCCTATATACTTCCTCAAGCTTTTTATATTAGCCTATTTTCTACTATTTTCGTAATTAAATTTACAGATTTGAATTTTTCACTATTTTTCTATAACAAAATTTTAAATTTCCATTCAAACTTTAACAACTATAATTCAAATTTTAATAACTATAATTCAAATTTTTTTGATATAGTATTTTCTTTAATAAAAATTTGAATTGTGATTCAAACTTTCTATTTAAATTTATAAGCCAAACGGAAATGAATTTCAAAAGTATTCATGTGCTTTTAATGAGTTTATATATTATAAATCAATAGTTTTTAACTATATTAAAGGAGATTTTACTAATTACATTGATATTACTATTATTGTCGTTAGGAGTTTTATTCCTAAGTATATTTTTATTGGCAATCTTACATCAGAATATTTAATTATTTATTGCTTTTAATTCGAATTTATTTTGCAGGTAAACTTGTGTTTAAAGTTTAAATCATGTCTTTATATCTTAATATTCAGATTCTGTACTTAGAGAATTTGTGCAGATTCCTTAGAGAATAAGATTAAATTTTATATCCTGTATTTATCTCTTAATTTGAATGATCGTCTCTAAGTCAGATTTTTTTTGTTAATCCATGTGGTTAAATGTGTCTGGATTCATTTGAGGATTATTCTACTTTTGTGAAAGTTTTCTGGTGTCTATAGGATTTTATAAATATGATTCGATATAGTATGAATTTGCACTAATTACATATCACGTTTAGACTGTTTTGAGTGTATTTACACTGCAGGTGCAGGTATTATGTTTAAATAATAATGCCAAAACACAAGCTGTTTGTCTCGACCATGCGAAGGTTCGAGGTCCTACTACAATTTTTGAAGATAGCTGGAATCTTGAGAAGGGATAAATCTGAAGATTTTGAGCAACTAAGATTCAAATTTGAATGGAGATCACGACCATATCTAAGCCTATATCAAGTGTATAGATTTTAGTTTTCATTATTTAATGAGGTCACTTTGTGACTTCTGATTTTTAGAGCTTAATAGAGAGAAAAATCGGAGCATTTACTTATGCTTATTCATTTAGCTCTAACACCCTGTTATCCTAGGACTTTTAGTCAGATAATCCAGACTAGTCCGAGGAGGAGCCGGATGAGCATGGAACATTGAGCTTGGAGTAGGTTAGTTGGATCGAAGGACCTATGGGAACCAAATAACTGGCCTCAAGAAAAGGTATCGAACTGTGGAAATCCTTAAGTAAAGCATGATTTTAGGGAAATCCTTTTAATGCTAATAAGTCGCCGGTATTCGCATTGAGCTTGGAGTAGGTTAGTTGGATCGAAGGCAAGCTGAAGACTTAGAGTAGGACGAAGAGTTTGAAGTAAGTCACTGTGAGTTCAATGTTGGTGTAGATTTCAGGCTTTTTTATAATGCTAAACAAGTGTAATTGTAGTTTGGTGATTAGTGAAATCCTCTTTTAATCTGGTGTGATTAGCACCCTTTATTTTTCTTAACTAGTATGTTATTTATTTTCCGCATATTTATCTCCGCAATAGTTTTTAGTTATGGTACTATTAGTGTTACTTGTTGCTGGGTGATTTGGGATTTTAGGGACAAAGTTCGTTATGAAGAGTATAATGTTTCTTTTCATAATGCTTTGGTTCATATTTTTGGCTTTTTGAAGTATTCTAGCTGCTTTAATATGGGAATCTCTTTTAATTCTTATGAGGACAAGCTTGTTCTTTAAAGTTTGAGATTGAAGCCAAATTTATGTAAGTCCCCAAAAGTGACTCCGATTTACTGGTTGATGGCTAATCATGGTTGGTTTAGGTTAATACGGATGGTTCTGTTAGAGGTGCTCCCGGTACGGCTGCTTGTGGGGGAATTTTCAGGAATTTTAGAGGCTTTGTTTGTGGTTGCTTTAGTATTTTTCTTGAAGAGTGTTTTGCTTTTGAAGCAGAGTTTTGTGCTATTATTAATGCTATTCTTATTGCTTATGAGAATGGTTGCACAAGCTTTGGCTTGAAAGTGATTCAATTATGGTCATTTTGCCTCTTAAGTCTGGCTCTTTAGATGTGCCTTGAAAGTCACGAAATGCATGAAAACAGGTTATTCTCTTATCTAAAAAGGATGGATTTTAAGTTTTCTCATTATATAAAGAGACTAATTATTGTGCTAACAAATTAGCTAATATTGATATAATAAATAAAAATAAGATGTAGTGATCAGCTTGTCTTGTTCTTTTGATTATTTTAGTATATAGAGATATTAGGGGTTTGCTTTTTTACAGATTTTCTAAGTATCTGTTTTGTATTCTTTTTTCTTTTTTTAATAATATTCTCTTCTTTTTGAGGAAGTTTCTGTTGGAGCGATTCCAACACAGATCTACGAAATCAAGAACACAACAACAGAAAATAGAAAAGATACACGATTGTTTGTTTGACCGAGGTTCGGGAACATTTGAGATTTTCCTACATCCCCATTGAGCTCGTCCGCAGGCAAGCTCTTTCCACTAGATCAAGAAAGCAATTACACCCTCAATACTCACGATTACAGAGATTCTGAGAACCAGAGAAAAACTCACAACCCGAGAAGAAATCACTCACACCCGAACAAGAAGAATACCTAGTGGAGAAGAAACCCTAAGTTTTCCCTAGATTCACTCGTTCCCCAAATTGATGATTTCTCTCTGTACACTATCAAGGAGTTTTCTCTCTCTACACAAAACACACTCTCTCTCTACAATCCAGAATAATCTCTTCTAATGTCTCGACCCCCTTTTGGCCAAAGGATTATATCTCAATAGCTTTACACGTGTCAGGCCTTTAGAAATAACCTTGAGTCGGTTTGCTCATGCCTTACAAACAAAACGACAACTCCTTGAACCAAACGACAAGATCCTTGAGTAAGTGCTTCCTTGATGAGTGTCGTTTCCTGAGATTACTCTCACAAATTCCACCTTAATCTCAGTAAACGACCCCTGATGAACATTAGTGGCTTCCTGCAGATGTCCTTGCTCAGACTTGATATTTAAGTCTTTCCAATGCTTAGCAAGTCCAGACATTTCTGGAACTTGCCAACATTAATCACCTTTGTTGCCATGTCCGAAGGATTGTCTTCAGTGTCTATCTTCTCAAGCTTGATTATGCCTTCTTCCACCTTCTCTCTTATGAAGTGATGCCTCACATCTATATGTTTGGTCTTGTCATGATAAATTGGATTTTTACAGAGATGGATGGCTGATTGACTGTCCAAATAAATGGTTGTATTCCCCTTTAGGATTTTCAATTCTGACAGTAAACCCTGAATCCAGATTGCTTCTTTGAAGCCCTTAGTTCCTGCAATGTATTCTGCCTCAATACTCGACAGAGCAACAACCAGCTGGAGTTGTGATTTCCAGCTTATGCAATTTCCATCAAGAGTCATCATATAGGCTGAGGTTGATTGTCTCCTGTCTCTGTCACCTGCAAAGTCAGAATCCACAAAACCTTCCAAGACCAAGTGATTAGATGTGTACTTGTAAATTAAACCATAGTTAATAGTGGAATTAACATATTTCAACACCCACTTCATGGCTAACCAATGATCAAGACTTGGATTAGCCATATATTTACTTAAAACACTAACGGCATAGGCTAAATAAGGTCTAGTGCATATCATGGAATACATTAATGAACCTACAGCACTAGCATAAGGGATTTTGGTCATTTTAATTTTCTCTTCTTCAGTAGAAGGTGACTGATTAGCAGAGAGTTTAAAATGACCTGCAAGTGGTACCTTGACACTCTTAGAAAGCTCCATAGAGAACTTCCTGACAACCTTCTTTAAGTATTCTTCCTGAGACAAACATAATTTTTTCTGTTTTCTATCTCTTTTTATGTCTATTCCTAAGATTCTCTTAGCATTTCCTAGATCCTTCATGTCAAATTCGGATCCTAAGAGATTTTTAACTTTGTCAATGATAGTTATATCCGGGCTTGTTATAAACATATCATCAACATACAACAAAAGATATACTACAGATTTAGTACTTAAATCTTTATAGTATAGACAGGAATCATAGTGGCTTCTAATAAAACCAATTTGAGCAACATAGTGATCAAATCTTTTATACCACTGCCTAGGAGACTGTTTTAAACCATATAGTGATTTTTTCAATAAACATACATGATTTACCTTGCCTTTTTCTTCAAAACCCGGTGGCTGGTTCATGTAGATGGTTCCCTTCAAGTCTCCATGGAGGAAGGCAGTCTTCACGTCCATTTGTTCCAATTCCTAGTCCTCATGAGCTACAATTGCAAGAATGGTCCTAATAGTTTTATACTTTACAATAGGGGAGAAAATTTATGTATAATCAATTCCCTCCACTCGCGTAAAACCTTTAGCAACCAGTCTCGCTTTGAATCTTTTAGGTTCCTTAGGAGTGGATCCCTCATTGATCTTAAAGATCCACTTACAATCCACTGGCTTTTGTTTCTTAGGTCTAGGAACTAAGATCCATGTTTTATTCTTCTTAAGTGACTGCATTTCTTCCTCCAGTGCTCTTCTCCAACTCTCAGCAGTAGGAGTAGAAGTAGCTTCCTGGAAACTTCGAGGTTCA